ATGCAATATGATACAGACGGCGCAGAGCGTGTCGTCTGTTATCAATCGTCAGCTGCAACCGACCGAGCGCAATTACCCGGTGCATGACAAGGAACTCCTTGCCATGAAGTATGCATTGGCTAAGTTTCGCGTCTATCTCTTAGGAGATAGACCGTTCATTGTATATACAGACCATGCGTCACTACCCACGGCTGTAAATAGTCCACACCTCTCGCAACGAATGGCGAGATGGTTGTCGTTTTTCGCGGAGTACAACTTCTCCGTGGAGTATAAGCCGGGACGACTTAACGTCGTCGCCGATGCTCTTTCACGTCGGCCTGACCTAGAGCCGACTGTGCAATCCGACAGTGATGTAAACACCACTGTCGCCACGCTGAGTACCAGCGTATTGTCGTTAAGCTTACTCGACGACATTAGAAGGGCATGCGCACAAAAACATTGATCTTGTACGCCTGATGGAGTATCTCAAGGACCCATCCACGCAAGCTAAGAAGCGCTTGCCTGCCATGTATCGATCTTCTCTCGATCGATACACCCAGCAGAACGGCTTACTGTATTACACAGCCGTCAACAACGACACACCTCGTGTTGTTGTACCGCCACAACATGATCACAGGTTACGGATCATGTTTGAATGTCACGATGCACCAATAAGTGGGCATCGCGGCCGTGAGAAGACTTACCTCACGGTCAGTCGCGACTTTTACTGGCCACGCCAGTATAAGTTTGTGCGCAAGTACGTGCGTGATTGCGAGGTGTGTCAACGAGTGAAGCCTAGTCCTTCACTCCGTGCACCATTGCAGCCTCTACCTGTTCCGGCAGAGTGCTGGGAGTCCGTATCAATGGACTTCGTCTTTGGGTTTCCCAAAGACGCTCACGGGAATAATGGTATACTCGTGTTTGTAGACAGGTTCAGCAAGATGGTACATCTTGTTGCTGTACCTGAGTCGATCACAGCAGAGGGCTGTGCTCGAGTGTTTATCGATACAATCTTTCGATTGCACGGGTTACCCCGTGAACTTGTGTCCGATAGGGACCCCCGGTTCACGGCTGAGTTTTGGCGTTCCGTGTTCCAAACACTTGGAACACGGCTCACAATGTCTACTTGTGACCATCCAGCAACTGATGGTCAGACTGAACGCGCCAATCGCGTCCTCGAAGAGATTCTTCGAGGGTACGTCCACTCGTTTCCGAGTTGAAGTGAGTTCTTGTCGATGGTCGAATTCGCCATCAACAACTCAGTGCATGCGTCCACGACGCATACATCGTTCTACGTAAATGGCCTTCGCCATCCACGTGTCCCCACCTTAGTAGAGGATGACTCTAATTTAGAGGGGGGAAAGACTCGCTCGAGCGAGAACCAATCTGGCTCTTGATCATCACGCGACGAAGACGTTATAGTCGACGCGAAAGTAACCGAAGTCGTACCATTCGACCTCGGTGAAGAGGAAGAAAGTAAGAGCGATGAAGCTCTTACTGATAACGATGCTGAAGATATCAGCATCGTTCGAGGTATCACAAGAGAGAACAGTCCTGTTATCGCTGAATTATCAACCGATATCTCTGCAGTGCATTCACAATGCACTGCAGCCAAAAGCAAAGAGTCAGCTGAGGATTTCCTGCTGACTCGTGAAGCGGTAGTCCGTTTCGTGCAAGACTCCATCGCAGAAGCGGTGGATAAGCAAAAGCGAAACGCAGACAATAATGGAAGGGCAAATGCTCAGACATTTATTGAAGGTGATTTAGTTTTACTGTCAACAGTAAACCTACCTAAACATGTAGTGACTAACGTGGGCAGCAATGGATTGTTGCCCAAGTACATCGGCCCGTTTCGAGTACTGCGCCGCCTAGGCAACGCATACACGATCGAGTTGCCACGCAGGATGCGTACGCATCCTACGTTTTACGTGGGACGTCTTCGTCCGTACGTTCAGTTCGCGGATTCTTCGAACGACGAAGATAGCCATTACTCTCAAGAATCCCCTTCAGATTCTCGTTGTCACGAACCAGATTCGATACCTGGTCGTGTAGAGATGAGATCTTCCCATGATATTAGACGATCTTCTGACGAGCTGTCGCCAGCTCGTTACTTAGAGAATGAAGCCGCCGTTCATTCTCCAATAGTGCGACAGCATTGTTTGCCCGAGACTTCTCATGGTCAAACCCAAGCTGTCGCACAATGTCCTTTAAGCGGCGACGCTTATTCCGTTCGTGATCAACATCACAACGGAGCTCACGAGTTACACGGGCAAACCCGTCTAACTCAGCAGCCAAGTACGATGAAAGAATCGGACAGGGTTTTCACTCCACCACCGCATCCGCTGGTGGATTCCCATGGTGGGAAGCGCTTCCTCGTGGAACGCTTACTAAAGCACCGCGAGGTGAAGGGACGTCGGACGAGTTATCTCGTCCGGTGGCGTGGCTATCCGCCTTTGAGGGATAGCTGGGAACCTCGGGCCCAACTGATGGCCGACGTTCCCGGCCTTGTCGAACAGTACGACAAGGGACACCCGATGGTGAAGGACCATCGGAGAACGAGCGCCCAGCGCGCTCGTAAAGGGATTGCAAAGTAGAAATCCCTTCACTCATCTCAGAAGAGATGCGAGCCCTCCACCAGGGCTCAGTAAGGAGGTACGCCTCCTTAGGCGCTCTTGACGAGGTGCTCAGTCACCCCGGGCATGGGTCGCCCCAAGAGAGGCGTAATAGGCCTTCCTCTCTAAATAACCGGTGCAAACGATAGCATGCACCGGACGTACTTCGTTTCTCAAACTTATTGCGGATAGCAAACAGTCTTTGAAACCAAGCCTCTTTCCCAACGTTTAAAACTTTGGGGATAAACGCGTTCCAAGATTGGAGGAACGCGTCAGCCTCACGCTTCTTGTGTGGGCCATACCATCGATGTTCAAGGAACACATCGATGTAATAATCGTTCTCAGTGCAAAAGTTCTTCGCACTGGCGTCAAGGCCATGAAGCTTTGACGCATCAAACAACGGTATGGGAAACCGTTCGTTGGTCTTTCCAGACCAACGCAAGCAGATGCTTAGGTAGCATCCATGGCTTGCGATCAGGATCAAGACGCAATACGTTGCGGTCTAAAGCCTCCTGCGTGGTTTCAACATAAGTACCGACACCACGAGCATTAGTGTCAGCCGAAGTACCGACACCACGTGCATTAATGTCAGTAGAAGCACTGACATCACCCTTACGGTCCCCACCCGAGTCACTATCCTTCGACTCGTTTGGCGAGTCGTCTAATTCATCAGGCGACCCGAACATTTCACGGTACATTGATTCACTCAATGTACCACGACCCCTCTTCGTAACATTCGACGACGAGGTATCACCCCGGGGAGAGCCCGGGAGTGACACAGGTGACTTTGAGCCGGATGCGTCATCCGACTCACCAGAGTAGTCAGCGACTAACTCTGGGTCAACATCTTCACGTGGCGAAGCGCTACGTGAACCTGCAACAGGCGTTGCAGGCTGATGTTGACATCCAGCAGACACTAATGTGATTCATCAGACGACCCGAACATTTCACGGTACATTGATTCACTCAATGTACCACGATCCCTCTTCGTAACATTCGACGACGAGGTATCACCCCGGGGAGAGCCCGGGAGTGACACAGGTGACTTTGAGTCGGATGCGTCATCCGACTCATTAGAGTAGTCAACGACTAACGCTGGGTCAACATCTTCGCGTGGCGAAGCGCTACGTGAACCTGCAACAGGCGTTTCAGGCTGATGTTGACATCCAGCAGACGCATTAGTGTCAGCTGGCTGAGGCTGTGAAGCCTCAGTAGCGGCTGCACACAGACGTGCAGCCGAGCTCTTAGCTGCCTTAGCAGCGACACGCATTGACTTTGTCATAGCGTAACATTGTTGAATGAAAGAAAATTCAACAAGTGCTCCTTTCCCATAGTCACTAAACAGTCACTAATGTGACTGTTGGTTGAGAGGGAGGTGATGTAACGGGGTGAGCCCGTTACATAATATTGACACTTATATGAAGTGTCAATAAAAATATTATTATAACTAATAATATTTGACAATATTATCTTTTCTTATAATATTGTTCCTAGATCTCCTTGAAGTTGGAGATGCCGTATCATTGGTTGATATGGGCCATCATATCAACCAACGCGCTGACCAATGACCGATGGACGCGCGCAATGAGTGGAGGGCAAGTTGTCAACATACATAGTTGTAGTTTAATATAGTTAACATAGGTTATAACAGATTAGTTTTATTAGATAGTTAACTATATTAAATACAGTTTTTCTTTTCCTCTACTTCTAAGCGTATCGTTTAGAAGTAAAGCTTCCTCTTCCTCTTGTGTAAGAGAGGTAATTGAGGCACCTGCTTTCAATGTAATCAGTAAAAGTAGACTATACTGTAATCAGTTTAGTCGGAGGGTGCCCCATTACAATAGGGCAGCCGGCACATTTCAGACTTCTCTAGTGGCCTGATACTTGTCCTCTTTGGAAAGGCTTGTACATCCTTTAATCGGTCATGGATATGGTGCCATGGACGGGCGGTATTTCAACCGAATGTTCGTCCGGATAGCCCATACTATTCTGTATTGGGGTCTCTTTTTGTGATACGTTAACACTGTTGTTAAATGGATTCTGACATTATGTTTTCGCTTAATTTAAGCCCGGTCACATGCGTGCCCCAAGCTGCGCTCACCCCGTGAGTTTCCTGTCCACTCAATCGGTTGGTTGCTGCACTAACACCTTGTCTACTCTATTTACATGTTAGGAGAACAGTGACGCCAGCCGCCTCTCGTACCTTTTCGTGTCCAGGTGCAAATCTTCATTTAACACTCCTCCTCGGCTGCGGCACCACCGTATGCCTTTCTGTCCTTCTCGGCTTCTGCCTCTATTCGAGGTTTATCAACACACACAGCGAAGCCAGATGGTTGCATCCACGTCCTTCGTCATTCGATCTGCAAGCTGAGACTCAGACCGCACGTGCTGCGCCCACGTCGCGCGTTATCACGCACAAACTTGAGGCGCACATCGATGTGCTTGGCTTTCAGGGATGACAACTCGCCATAGCTGCTTGATAGCTGCTTGTTTGTCGACGTGGAGCGTTATCGGCAGTCCGGGTGGCAACCCAAATTCGCACAGCATCTGTCGAATGCCAATAAACTCACGCGCCTGCTCCGACGCTGCGACAAACTCCGCCTTTATGGTGAAGAGTGCGACGTCACCTTGTTTCTTGGCCGTCCAGCTTACTGCAATCCAGTTCAGGCGAATGACCCCGCCAGTCAGCGACTTCCGATCCGCCTTGTCGGCAGCGAAGTCTGCGTCTGAGTACGACTCCAAAGTCACCGACTTGCCTGCATTCTTCGTAGGTTTCATACGTAACTTGTATTATTGGGTACCCTTCAAATATCGCGCAATGCGCTTCGCGAGTTTGAAGTCGTGGAATCGCGGCTGGCGCGTCGCCTTGTGGACAGCGAACGCAATTTCTGGCCTTTTTCAGCGCGCCACCCACAGTAGGCTGCCAACGAGCGACTGGAAGCTCCGGATGCTAGGGCTCCCACCTTCTTCGGAGATCAGCAGCGCGCTATCTGTCGTTGGGACTTCGTAGCAGTTCGCGCCAATGAGATTGCGTGTTGAGTTCGCGTCGTCGAGTCCATGCTCTCTCAGGAGGTCACTTATGGCGCCTTCTTGGTCGATCACGTAGCTGCCGTCGTCGTCGACCGCTACTCGCATCCCCAAAAAATTGTTCACGGGACCTAGGTCCTTAATGGACATGGCAAGACTCGTAAAGAAACGATTAACCGCTGCCGCGTACGTACCGGTTTCAAGTAGGTCATCAACGTAGACCCCTACCACCACGAGATCGCTTCCATCTTGCTTCCAGTACAGACACATGTCTAACTCGCACTGCTGGAAACCGGCGTCGAGAAGGCGAGTGTGGAGCAATTGGCTCCACAGTCGGCCGGCCTGTTTGAGTACGTACAAGCTCTTACGAAGTTGCAACGCAAGCTCGCTCACGTTCGTTGCTTCCAATTCCTTGACAGTGTCGCCGCTCACGTCCATTCTCTTGGGCACTTGCAGGAGGATTTCCAGATCGGCCTCTTTGTCTGCCTTCACGTAGGCGTTTAGTATATCGCCATGCTTTGCTCCTACTCCCCACGTCGCCGCGAGAGCCAGGATAATTTTGACGGTCGACATATCCATCACAGCAGCAAATGTGAGGACATAGTCAGCTCTAAACACTTGCTCGTTCCCGCACGCTACGATCCGCTCTTTCAAAGTTCGACGTCTCCATCTGCAGTCGTCTTCGTCTTGTACACCCACTTCGTGTGAAGTGCATTGCTTTCTCTTGGACGTTTAATCAGGCGCCAGACGTCGTTGCTTTCGAGCGCTTCCAATTCTTCGCGCATTGCTTTCTCCCAGTCGATCTTTTTCGAGCTTCGCATCGCCTCGCCATAATTCTTCGGATCACGCTCGTACACGTGGTTGACGGTGCTTGTGTTGCCTACTGGCCCCTCCTGCGCCGCGGCTTTCTGCGCGCGCTTCGCCGCGCCGCGCGTACCGTGTGACGAGCGCGTCCACGACTTCGTCTTTCGCCGCCCGCTGCTCAAAGCTGTCGTTGCTGTTTGCATCGTTGCTGATGCAGTTGCGCGTGATGTCGTTGACGCCGCTGCAGACTCCGTTCCCTTAGCTGCAGTTGGCGCGTCTTGATCGTCGTATTCGAGTGCTCGCTGGAGCTGACTGTTCTGCTCGTCGCTAAGCGTCTCAATGCTCTTCACGTGCTGTGTGACGACCAAGATGTTGTCTTTCTGCAAAAAAACTCGATACCCTTTTGTCTCGTCACTTCTCCCGACGATGATACCCACTTGTGCCCTCTGCGCGAGCGAATCCTTGCGTGGGTCTCGGTAGGCCGTGCAGGTCGAGCCGAAAACAACTACGTCGCGTAGGTCAGGGGCCACCTCCGTGAGTACCTGTAGTGGCGATGCGCGGCACAGATTTGCGCTTGTCGGCCTTCGGTTCAAGATATATACCGCGTTTTTGACGGCATTGCCCCAGAAAGTCAAAGGGAGGCGACTTGCGAAAATCATGGATCGAGCCATGTTAAGAACCGTCCGATGCATCCGCTCTGCCTTCCCGTTCGACACTTGATTTCTCGCTTCTGAGACTTGACGCATGACTACAGTGCGCTTACAAAACAGGTCAACGTTCTGATTCTCGCCGCCGCCGTCCGTTCGTAGTACGTGAATTCGACAATTGAATCGCCTTTCGAAAAACACTAGAAATTGTTCAAACTTCTTCGCTGCGCGGTCCTTTGTAGGAGCCAGAAACACGCGGCAGTAGTTGGACTTGTGGTCGACAAAGTTCACAAGGTATCAATTTTCTTGGCGGTCTTTTAGCGTCACGGGTCCCTTTAGGTCCGAACAGATGACCCCCCCCCCAATCCTATCGATTGGCGAGTTCATGCCAGTGTCTTTGCGCGACTGAGCATTCTTCGTCTGCATTCCTTCGGCACACGACAGACACGTGAGACTGCGTCGGTCCATAAGTTTGATTCCTGACGCGATATTCTTCTCCATTCGCTCCCCCGTGTCATACGACAGATTTCCAAGCCGCTGGTGAAATTACGTGAAAGTCCCACTTTGCGTGTCTGACGTTGAGTCCGCCATAGCTTCATCGGACAAGATCGCCATAAGAACGTCAGCTGGCGTGCCTATAACGCAGGATGGCGAGACTGTCTGTACGTAGAGTACATTGTTCAGTATTGTCAAGTCGAAGGCCACTTCCCTGTTGCTGCGTTTGACGAGTGCGCGCGTCGCACCGTCGTACACAAGGCCGAACCCCTTAAGTTCGAGTTTGCCGTACGACACAATGTTGCGCTTGAGTTGAGTCGCAAGGTAAACGTCTGTGAGCTTGACCGTGCGCTCCTTTCCATCTGCCATTACACATAGTAGGACGCTTACAACTTTTGACAGCGACAATGTATGTTGCATTCGTGGCTGCAGTTTCGTACATCCTCTGACAGACTTTCGTTGTTCACGAGGTGTCGACTTGATCCACTGTCTAAGATCTATTCACAGTTCTTGTCGTTCGCATCTTCGCCAGCGAGGACCAGGTCCGATCTCTTTCCGTTGGGTGTCGGGCTCTTGTTCTTGCCTCCGACGTCGTTGATTTCCAGAACCAGATCTGCACCAACTCTATCACGACGTCCACCGTGGTTCTTCCTGTCTTTGCTGCGACAGTCGCTTTTAATGTGGCCAACTTTGCCACACCCGAAACACGTGCGTGTCTCTTTCTTCGTTGAGGCCTCGTCGACGTGAGCCACAACCTCTCGTCCGAGCGCACGACCCTTGCGCGACTCGACCTTCACAGACTGCGCGAAGTGGGCGAGCTCCTCAGCTTGGCGCAAATGGTCGACCCGCGAGCTGTCGTAATTAGCCATGAGCACTGTGCTCAGGTCTGCTGACGCGTAGTGCACGATGTTGTCGAGCACCTGTTGGTCCGCACCGCCGCACGCGTCGCTGACGGCAACCAAGTACAGATAGTGCTCTGGTCAGCTTCTCTTCGGGTCTTTACGCGCCGTAAAGAGCTGTATCGACTGCGTTGCCGTGATCGTGGTCTTGAAAGTCTGCAGGAGCCTTTCCATGACGTGGTCTAGCGTCGGTAGTTGCGTCCACCACACCTCAAGCTGCTTTTTGTAGTAGCGTTCTGCGGTACCGCTCAAGTAGTGTCCAAGCAAGTCTGCTTTGACTTCCTCAGACCAGGCAAAGCCGCATGCGTGCTGGACCATCGTTATCTGTCGGATAAACGTACGCCCCCAGTCAAGGAAGCCGGAGCCGAGCCCATGGTACAGCTCGCTACCGTCGAACTTCCTGATTTTCAGCTTCCGTTGACGCGCATCCGGTACTCGATGCGCAGGACCCGTCGCCTGCTGTTCTTGCCGCGGCGCCTGCTGCATTGGAAAGCGCTGTCGCGGTTCCGGTGCGACGTATTAAGGCCCGAGCGTCTCGACGTGCGCTGCATGCGCTGGTGACGCTACTTGTCGCCTCTGTGGCAAGTTCCCAAGTGCGTCCAGGTGCAATGGGTCAGCGTTGCCCATGTTGCGACCGAGCAGAGAGGTAAAACGTCCACTCTCGATAGCTCCTCGGAGTCGTTCGTTTTCGTCAATCTGCATCTGGGACGCCTCCATGCGCTCCATGCGGTCTTCTAGTCCCATCAGCATCTTAAGAATCCTCTCATTTACGTCCGCGCCCCTTCGTGGATTGGCGGGTCAACGACCATGGCAGACGCCGTCACGGCCCTTTCGTGACCGGTGGCTGGCGGCGCATGTGCCGTGTCGGTGGTGTTGTTGATGTTATCGGCGCTTGGGCTCATAATCTGTTCGTGATACGTTAACACTGTTGTTAAATGGATTCTGACATTATGTTTTCGCTTGCCTTCAGCCCGGTCACATGCGTGCCCCAAGCTGCACTCACCCCGTGAGTTTCCTGTCCACTCAATCGGTTGGTTGCTGCACTACCACCTTGTCTACTCTATCTACATGCTAGGAGAACAGTGTCGCCAGCCGCCTCTCGTACCTTTTCGTGTCCAGGTGCAATTCTTCAATTAAGAGTTTCATGCTTCGACCTTGGGTTGGTCGAAGGGGGCGTGGTGGAGTGGATTCTCAAACGACGTGAGAAAACCACAAACACACACAGCGCCAGACTGCCGACTTATGAAGGGGGTACCCCGATACCGTGTCGCGTCAACCTTGGGTCTCACCTTGTGTACCCGTCGGCTTGGCTGGTCTTGCTTCTTGTTAGACGCAGAAGACTTAAAGACTTGGTATTTGTATAAGACTTGGACTTGGTGGTCCCCGAGTGGATATACTTCCCTTGGGACCGGGTTTCTTGGGCTCAATCGACTGTGTCGAGATCAATGCACCTGATACTATGTACCCCTTTCGGTGTCTAACTGTTTCGTGGTCCTTGGATCCCTTTCTCTTGTTCCCAGTAGGGAATACCGCTACCTGTAGCGGGTGTTGGGTGTCTTGACACTTACTTGACACCTCAGGCCAACTATACTGAGGTTAAATTTGCGTAGCTTGTGCCTTGTAGCTTGTGCCTTCTAACACCTGCTGACGTCGGGGGGCCAAATCGTATCCCGCTCGGAAGAGGTGGAACGACGTAGAAGGTAGGAGGGGACGCTTAGAGTTGTCACGTGTAAAGCAAATTCGAGTGTGTTTATTTATCTTATACTTTGTATACTTTTTCTTTCCTAACCCTAACCCTTCGCTCTGGATAGTGCCACGTGTCGACTCTTGGAGGAAGAACTAGTTCCTTAGTACCTGTACTTTCTGTAACATTCGGGGTTCCGTATACCCGTGTCGCATCCTCGGGCATTGGGCCCTGGGCTCTGAAACCCTAGTACCCTGGACCCTGGTACCCTGGACCCTGGGTCCTAGTACTCTGGTACCCTGGGGCCCTGGGTCCTGGTACTCTGGTACCCTGGGACCTTGGACCCTGGTACTCTGGTACCCTGGGACCTTGGACCCTGGACCCTGGGGCCTGTAGTGGATCTGCACTTCTGGGTCCTAATATTCTTAATGAGTCTGGGGCCTGGTGTGAGGTTGTGGATCTGCGGGGCCGTGTTGTGGTCACTCCCTCGGGGGAGTGACCGGGAATTTTCTTGCTTCCTGTTTCTATTTCCTTTGTGCTCTGATTTCTTTGGCACTTCTTCACAGCTGTCCCCTGCGCGCTGGTCTTCCTAACTGCGGCAAGACCCCTTGCACCCTTGTCCTGCCGTTTTAAATTAACAGCAAGTGCTCGATGACGGTGTCATGTACCTCATAGAGGATACGATACTTCAGGTCCTCGTCATGAGGAACCACAATACGCGGAGGGCCGCCACATCCGTACGATAGTACAACAGCCCCTGATCGATAGAATATCGATGGAGGCTCGCACGTAATCGTGCCGACAATTTTAATGTCCGATTCTTTAAACTCATCACTGCCAAGAGCATGTAGCAACGCTATACAATGATCATCTTTAGCATACGCCGATCGAATGAGATCAATGATAGAAGACGACAACGTCGTAACATTAGCAAGCTCATAGTCAGGTCTGCGTGACAACGCATCAGCCAAAGCATTTTGCTTGCCGGCTTATATTTCACCTCGAAGCTATATTCAGCAAAGAATGACAGCCATCTGGCCATTCCTGCGAGAGATGCGGCGACTGAGTCGCAGTGCGTAAAGACGCATGATCAATATAGATCACAAAAGGCTTTGAGCCCAGCAGATGAACTCTGAATTTGACCAGGGCATACTTCATCGCAAGTAGCTCTTTGTCATGAACTGGATAGTTCTTATCTGCAGCTTTCAGCTGGCGAGATTCAAAAGCGACTACACGCTCACGGCTTTCATCATCTGTTTGTAACAGAGCACTGCCAATGGAAAAATCCGACTTGTCACAGACGACACTAAACGGTCGATCAGGGTCTGGAAAAGCCAAGATGGGAGCATGAAGAAGACTAGCCTTCACCGCTTACAAAGCATCCTCATTTTTGGCATGCCAACACCATTCCACATCTTTCTTTAGAAATTAGATAATGGACGATCCATATCAGTGTAATTCTCGCTGTACTTATGCAAGTTTTTGGCAAGCAAAGCCGCTTACGCAAGTCCTTCTGCGACCGTGGAAGAGACGATCGACTATGGCTTTGGCCTTGGCGGGATCCGCTCGGAGGCCTTGCTTTCCCAATGAAGCCACCCTAGAAAGGGGATCTTTTCGGCACCGTAGATGCACTGAGATGCATTAGCATATAGTTTATTAGTGCGCATGCACTCGAGCACAGCTCGTAAATGAACAATATGGTTCTCAATATCTGACCGCCCATTTTCAGCTCGACTATGGACAAAAATGTCATCAAAGTACGTCTGTGCATAACTTCGATGGGGTCAAAACAATTGCGTCACCAAACGGTTAAACGTAGCCGGAGCATAAGACAGCCCCTAGGGCATCACCAATCACTCCTAGAGCATAACGCTCGGAAAACTAACAGCAGTAAGCGGAATATCGCTAGCTCGCATAAGCAATTGGTAATAACCATCGACGCACTGTACATTGTACAACCGACCATATTGTTCTGAAGAACATCCTTTCTAGGTATTGGCGTCTGCGCAGGTATAGTAGGAGCCCGAGCTGCCACCTGAGTACTCGGGGCTCCATTTCTGCCAGTAGAGTGCCCCGCGCCTACTGATAATGCTCATTTTTGGCGGGACCACCGACGACACAGCGTCTCCTCGTGAGACAGCTGAGTTCATAGTCACCGGCGCAGGTGCTCGACTGGCAGCCGCACGATGGCCTGTCTTGTCACAGCGAAAACACTTTATCGTGTTATGATTGCGAATTTCGCGGCTTAATGATTTGCCGCGACCACGAGAGGACTCGATTGCATCAATTTCCATTGGCTCTGGGCCAGACGTCCGGGGATGTTGTGACGCTGCGTGCAGGTACGACGACGCGACAGTGTAATCCTCACGAAGCGCGAGGGCAAATGCATCCTCGAGGGACTTTGGCTCAGCACGTGTGAGGCAGTAACGCGTCATGCCCTCTTGCATACTATTAATAAAAACATGGACTTGTGAAGCCATGTCAATTGGCTGCGTGGTGATGCACGAAGCAAGATGACGTGTCTTCTGCACGTAGTCACGCATCGACAGCTTGCCCTGTCGGAGTGAGAAGAAATCTGCACGCAAGCGAGATTCATCTTGAGGAGGCTCGAAAGCCAGTCGTAAGTCACGCTGGATATCGTCCAGCGTGGGAACGCCGACCCATCTACAACGAGCTTTCCGAGAGCCCATTCCTTGGCTTTGCCAGCAAGACGAGACAACAGGAAATTGACCTTGGCCGTCGGAGCGTCAATTAATCTTGACGCTATCGCAATATCCACCTTGCGAAACCAGCGATTAAGGGGGAGACGATCCGGACCATCACCGGAGTACGTTGACGTCTCCATCTTGATAGCGTCATGGTGCAAAGTGCGCGAGGGAGTCAATACTCGCCGATTCACTTCGGCGAGCTCGCGCACCATAAAGTTTTGGATGGCGGCACGTTGATCATCGGACGTCGCTGTGCTCAGCAGCGACGTCACAATAGTTTCACCAGACACCGCCGCGAGGCGGTGTAGTGTCTGCCACTCCATCGATGTGAGATGTAAGAAGTCAGAATGCTCCAGCGAGACCGCTGAAGCCATCGAAGACTCGTCCATGTTCATCTCGAATCTGTTCATTGGAAGGACTACGAAGTGCTACCAGGTGTAACGGGTAAGGACCCGCTACCGTCTTACACTAAAAGGGCATTGAGGAAGCGCTCTTAATTAACTCGTAGATATAACTCTGTTTTGTTTTAATTCGCAGTAAGTGCGAATATGTTCCCTAGCTCATGGGAACCACTCAATATGGAAGTCAATTTATTATTGGTTAATTATTGGGTCTGGCACCCAAATAATTAACCAATAATAAAATGACGCGCAGTATCCGCTAATCGGATACTGCCCTATGCCTACTTATGTAATTATGTAATATTCCTATAACTACTCATGTAATAGGTTGCCCCATTACAGTGCAGACGATGAATTCCCGCCTCGAGTCGCTGAAACAGAGTCAAACCTGAGTGGAGAAACTTGCACGGTTGTCCAAGTTTATGGGCGTTCAAAGGGAAAATGTGCGAGATGGATATCTCGAGAGAGGCGTGTTGGAATAAGTTGAAGAACAGTGGAAGTTGCTGGCAGTTGGCAGTGGATGGCAAGGCATGTGAATGGCAGTTGGTGTGCTTCATGGTTGAAGGTATGAGAGGGGAGTCGTGCTGACGCAGAGTCCCAGGTTGTACTTGCCAACTGGCATAGGCCACGAAGAGATGTATGTTAGGACAGTAGGGCTTGTGTTGTATGGTAAAAATGAACGACAGTTCCGAAATTGCATCGTGTGACTCAAGTGCATATTACAAGGGTTATGAGCCCAACTATGGTTCCTCAGGATAGCGGACAAGGTGTGAAGATGTATTCAAAGGATGGCATGCCACGTAACTTTAAAGGTCAGTACTGGCATACCTACAAGGAAATGGCGATGATGGCGCTACAAGACATCGACCAAGAACTTTGGGATGTTGCATGCGGTCATATCGGCCGGAAGTATCTCTCAACTGATGAAGGCAA